GTGAGATTCAAACTCCTGATACACACTGCAATCTTTTTAAGTAGAGAAACCACTGTGAGACGCAAACTCCTGATACACACGGCAATTACTTTTAGAGGGGAAACAACTGAGGTATGCACGTACCTGATACTCAGGAGAATCTTTTTGAGTATGGAAACTTAGAATAGGACCTGTATTCATGGAACCTTGCTCATGCGCAAGCATGGAATCTGTGCTCGAACCAGCTTCATTTTTACTCGCTTAAATCACTGTCAAAATATTACAAACATTTTAAACAGCTTTCTGTTCGAAGTCTCTTCATGAATTCTTCCGATGTAATATTTTATTTATTGATCACTGGAACAAGAAATTGAGCAAGAGCACAGAATCTCAATTTGATCACGAGAACAGTTTTATGAATGCAGGCACAGTTCCTGGAGCAGAGATACAAGTGATATGTAAATTCCTGATACTTAGGGCATTCCTAGATACCGTGACATTTAAACTTACAATACTTCAGACAGGCTTTTAATTAGATAACCAAGTGACATTTAACTCCCTATACTCAGCGAAAGCCCGTATTTATAAAATAATTTTATATCTTAACCCTTTGGGGTAGCTGACACATTACAACTGTAGGGAAAAAAACAGTGATTGGTAAAGGTTAGGAGTCCAATGTGTTTGATATAGCGCGATATTTAGGTAACCTTGATATGAGTATACAACGTAATAAACTGACGTAACTGTGGAATCTATTACTGGTTTTCAATCTTACCAATAATTGAGCCAACAATAATGGAACTGCTATAACTGACGAGGAGGAGTCTTTAATCGCTATTAAATATCGCCATTTCTGATCAATTAGTGAGTTTATGATAATGCCACAGAAATTTTACATTTCTGTTGCATTATCAAAACCTCACTAATTGATCAGAAATTGCTGGCGAAGACCAGTATGTGATCGCTATTTTATGTTGTCAGTTTCTTACCAACAAGGCGTTACTAACAATGCAGTTGAAATATAATGCTGGTAGTATTACTAAGTGAACATTTTAAAAACGTAAAGAAAATGTTTGGGGTAAGGCTCTGTATTACGCTTTCAATATAGAAGTTATAAGTCAGAGATCTCCTGCCCTTAATAAAAAAAACCAGAAGATGTTAGTTTGTATACTTGTAATGCAACTTTGAGTTTTGAAATATGACTTTAGTTTTGATTTAGATGTGTTATTAAGAACAAAATATTAAAAGTCATTCTTCAAAATGACTTGTATCATTTTTTCTTTCAATTTTGAATAAGATCGTAAGTACGTAAGTACCTACGACGTATGACTTCACGCGAACCATCACATATTACCAGGACAGGAGAGTGTCGGACTGGATGAAATAATAGCACATTAAGGAATGTTACGAATGCTTACAGACAGGATTGATTGACTTGTTATGTTTACATGAATGTATGAATCATATCACCTCGTGAGTTTGCCCTAAATTATCATGCCAAGCTTCGCAAATCACAAAGAGTTCCAAACCAGCAGATCCAGTAAATTGTCTGCCATGTGCCACAATAACACCTTGATAGAATGTTGTGAAATAAACACATTTTGCATCGGTAACAATAATAAGGTATCATCAAATCAGGAAATTAAAGTAATTTAATGAAATATCATTTTTTACGGAATTGTTAAGTTTGCGCTTTCAGATGTACAAAAGAAATACATTTGGTTTATCTTGACATTAAGAGTAAACATATTTGAAGCAGCAAAAAGGAATAAGCAGAACGAAAGGGCAGAACTGTGTGCAGATAACAATGTTATGTTCCAATTTAGGAAAATAAAATAGTTTATAAACACGCAATTCAATTTGTTTCAGTTCACAAAAGAGGTTTCGTAGAAACGATGTTAGCATTTTCTTAGACGAGTCCATTTAATACGTACGCATAGTGTTCTACCAGAGATAGTTCAGACTACGCTTGGACAATCTACGGTCACTGTTTCTATCCTTGGTATATAATTGTGTGATTAAAACCATGTACACTAAGAGTGATCTATCCTAACTGCATGTTTTCCTTAACATAAACGAGTACTGCATATCTAGTACAATATCCTGTAGTACAATATCTACATCTAGTACAATAACTAGTACAATATCAATATCAATATCTAGTACAATATCAATATCTAGTACAATATCAATGTCTAGTACAATATCAATATCTAGTACAATATCTAGTACAATATCAAGTACAATATCAATATCTAGTACAATATCTAGTACAATATCAATATCTAGTACAATATCAATATCTAGTACAAAATCAATATCTAGTACAATATCTAGTACAATATTTAGTACAATATCAATATCTAGTACAATATCTAGTACAATATCAATATCTAGTACAATATCTAGTACAATATCAATATCTAGTACAATATCTAGTACAATATCTAGTGTACAATATCTGGTACAATATCTAGTACAATATCAATATCTAGTACAATATCTAGTTCAATATCAATATATAGTACAATATCAATTACAATATCTAGTACAATATCAATATCTAGTACAATATCTAGTACAATATCTAGTACAATATCAATATCTAGTACAATATCTAGTACAATATCAAGTGTACAATATCTAGTACAGTATCTAGTACAATATCAATATCTAGTACAATATCTAGTACAATATCTAGTACGATATTTTGCTCTTTGTATGGGGTTAATGGCATTTTCCCTTTGGTGTTTGTTTGTCTTCACTGTTTTTCGATTTTGTTTTCGTTTTCGTTATTGTTGTATTTTCAAATCGTCCATGGATTGTGTTTCTGAGTATTTATGGGTTTCTTTTGCTATTTTGCTTATAAATGCTTAGTCAATGAACTGTTATATGCGGGCTACATTTGAGGGTAAATGGTATCATTTCATTAGTTTTAATACCAATGAAGAGTTTTACTAAGGCTTTGTTGAGATTGAGAATTCTCCTTAGACACCAAACAAGTTTTTTTCTGTCTTAAAGAAACTTCCCCATTCAAATTAAGTATTTCCTCCAGGCTAATTTTTCATAGAATGTGCGGAACATAAATTATAGTCTCGTTTTGGTGCTGTTCATATAAAATCATCGGTGAAGTATGGGCTTGGCATTGGCATATAAAAGTAGACTCCCATATAGATAGTGTGATGGATTTATTTGATGGCTGTTTTCAAACATTTACATTTCAAACAACTAATTCTGTAATAGGCATCGAAATATATTTTTTTATTACATATTAATAGTGACAGTGGTTATGGTATTGTTAAAGTGTTGGTACCCTTGTCCTGAATTTATTACGGTTATACAACAGAGCATTTACGTATTTGCTGTTCATCATGGAGAGATAAAAACAAGCGAGTCGATTTGACAAGAGTGTAATAATATTTCAACGGAAAATTGATAGTTAAGCAACGGAGAGAATGATTTGTCTATGATAAAGTTAGAAAGGGACATCTAATCCGCTGAATGACTATATCGCTATTACAGAAACAACTTGAATGACATTTAAGCATTTAACGATTAAACTGTATTAGTCAAATTGCTGGTAAAACATTTATTCAGAACAGAATTCAATAGCGCCATTTTAGTGAAATATCTGCAAATTATGCATATTCGAATCCTAACATGATTATAGCGTCGTTAGTTATAAAACCACTACAGTTTTACGGTATTTTGATATATTAGCATAGTTTCTGAGAAATCCAAATGTATTTGACACATCTTTATTAATCACGCTGCACGTGGAATTGCACGTGCTGCAGCGCTCGTCATATAGTACGTTTGACATGACTATCAACATGATATAGAGATTACCATACAATACTTCCAGGAGGAACACAATCGAACGACAAGCGGGGCTTGGATGATTGACAGCCGGTGTGGGAGGTGACAAAGGGAACACTGACACTTCTATAATTCCTGTTACTATAGCGAAGACTACGACCTATCGTATGTTGCTATAGAAACTATTTTTAACAACACAGGCACCATATGAGAACACGATTATGACCCCGCAATGATACCAAGGAGATCAACATTAGATGTTTTTATTAAGGACACAACTTGATTAAAGTAAAGTATTTGTTCTTGGAGATTATTACATGACTACCGAAAGAAAACATCTTATCCTAAATGAAGTGTTAAAAGATAGTTTCGGCATCTATCGGAATAACATAAAATGTTATACTAAAAAGCATACCAATTTCATTCACATTATAACTCTACAAATGACGGTTTTCCGTATTTCTAACGTTCAGCATCCCAAGTCCTCTAGTTCTGGTACTGCGGTAGCCAAACATTTGACTTTGTGTTGTTGAATTGATTATTGAGCCTGTTAATGTCATTGGAGGATGTCTTTGTGTTATCACTATAGAAGTACGGTCACGTGAGGAAGTACGACAAAGCCAGTTTTTAGACATCATTCGTGCGCCTCTCTGACACAGCTTTTATTTTTCTACACATTATTTCAGCGCCTCTTTGACTCAGACATCATTCTTTACGCTTTATTTGAGCGCCTCTTTGACTCAAATATCATTTCTTTACGCTTTATTAGAGCCCCTCTTTGACTAAAATGTCATTTCTTTACGCATCATTCGTGTGCCTCTTTAACTCAAATTTAATTTCTTTACGCATCCTTCGAGCGCCTCTTTGACTCAGACATCATTTTTACACATCATTTAAGCGCCTCTCTTACTCGATTATCATTACTTTTCACATAATTCCGCGCCTCTCTAACTCTAAGATTATTTCTATTCACATAATTCAGCGCCTCTTTGACTCAAATATCATTTCTTTACACATCATTTGAGCGCCTCACAGACTCGAAGATCATTTCCTTACGCATCATCTGTGTGCCTCTTTGACTCAAATAGCATTACGTAACACATCATTCGAGCACCTAAATAACACTCCTCCAGAGCCCCGCTGACAGATGACAATTACAATATAATTAGTGCGACTATCACGCCCCGGTAATTAATACTTACCAAATTTAGCCAACAATTCGTGGTTATTATTTGGTTCTTCTCATCCTGAAACATAAAACAATGAATTTGTAATGTACACCAGGGACACATCTTTCACACATGACGTAAAGTATTTAGTCATCATTAAAACAATGACAGACGAATACAAGATGGATACACTTTCAAATGCTCTTTGTAAAAGATTTAACGTTTCTGTTTCTTCGAATAGTTAACAATATATATCAGTACATACTCGTTTTCACAAATGATTTTTTCTCCCCATTAATATTGTTTGAAGCTAATACAAAAGCGTTACAAAAACATGCGTCTTGTTGTAGGAGAGATGGTATATATGTACCTGTTGATAAGGAACTCAGTCACCTTTGTAAGGGTGGATCAAGGCAGGAGGAGAACGTGTTCTACCTCCCAACATAACGTTACAAGGAAGTCCGGCTTACCCTCACAAGGAAGTACGAGTAATATGCTCGGAATGACTAAGGTTAACACATTGAAGTGTCACCTACGTATTGAGCTGATCATCAATTGAAACCCGTTGAGTGTTAACATTTGCAATACGTAGAATCGAAATGTAATCAAGACATGTACAGCTACGTACGATCAAATTGGCAAGAATATCCGACCGGATCAAGTTCGCACATATTATCTGGAAGACATGTGTTTGAACCAGACTTGTCTTAAATATGAGTCAAATTTGCTAAAAACTGCAAGTATTCCGCCTACGGCCTCAAATGATAATGACCCCTTCAATACTATCGCTACCGCGTAAAAATGTAGTCCGTCCTTACATAAATTACAAAGTATTTCACAGCCTAAGACAATGAGTATCTGCTCAACATCGAATCCCAGTGGTGTGAGTGACGTTTTCTATACCTTACACCAGGGATGAACTGATACTAAATAGTGAATCAGTTGTGACATGTAACCGATATGGGATACTACACGAGGCCCAATAATGTCTCCTGACGCTGGTATTGAAAGTATGTGTCGCATACTGACAGTAGGTAACACTCAATTAATGCTATTTAGTTAAATTGAAGTACTCGATTAATTCTATTTTAGTGTAGTCAGAAGTACAAAGTGCTCAATGAATACATTTTTAGTGTTGTACGTATTCAATTACGTCCAATAAAAAGTGTTCTAGTGCAATACGTGGTACATGGTACTGACTTTACAGTGCTCAATGATTATATAGTACTAAATAAACGTTTGTTTTATTACAAAAATAGTTTATAATGTAGTAAAATTTAGAGTGTTCAATTAATGCTATTTTAGGGTAACATATATATTACATCGTAGGCAGTGATATTTTAGTGTAGCATTTTAACTCTTTGGAGTTTTGCACTGTTCATACAATAACTGCGTTCTGTTACATGTCCATCACGAGCTGGGAAGATGAACGGATAGGCAAGGCATGCGTCGTCTCAATAATGATATAATCATATTGTTTCACAGGGACGGAAACCGTGTCAGACACGACCATAATCATTACTGTAAAGCAATGATAACCTGTGAGACAACACATATGACCAGTAGACATTTCAACTGTTTCAGATGACACCGTTGCAACAGCCGTACTAAAATGTCAATACTTAGCTAGTCCCTTATGCTCTCTATACCATTTCAAGGAAGCGCTAACCGCCTGTTTATTTCTAGATAATAGATGTTTAGGCTGTTCTCTGACTTTCAGAGCGTGTGTAAACATCGCCTCAAGCTGTAACTGTCGTTTTTATCACTTTTTTAATAACAAATAGGGGCCAAAAGTGCTTAACGTATCTGCCATATATCATGAACACTGTTTAATTATTTCTAAATTTCAAATGTTAAATGTTGCCATTATTTCTTTAAAAAGAAGTTTTTCAAATATTATATCCCGTAAAATGCATTTTAACTTTTGTAACTCTTGATTTTGGTATCTACGACCCATTCAAAGAGCACTTAAACCTCTTGCCATATATTATAATGCTGTTCATATTGTACCCAGGGTATGTATTATAGCCAACTCTTGTCTACGTATACCCTTGAGAGTGTCGACTGTCGAGAAGGTACATTATAGTCGAAAAACTTTCTTAAAGCAAGGCCAAGAATTCTATCCCTCTAGTTGTAAATAACCATAGCATTCCTTCAGTTTAGGAATTTCGATCACATCTATTTTGTTTCTAAGGATGGTGTTGCCAGAGATTAATCCGAGGAATAATGAATTTATGTTTATTGTAATAAAAATCATACACAACTGCATATCGAATCATCGAATGTCTCTGGCTTCACAATGTGATTTTTATATATCTCTGTATTTGTCATTACGGTGTGACATCTGTACGGATTAAATATGCTGTGTATATTGTCAGGTAGGATTGCTGTCCTTTCAAGTGTGTCTGTGTTGATCGCTTGGTTCTCTTTTTATCGGTTGTTTGTACTTTTCGTGCTTTGTTTATCGTCTGGTTAAGGATTGCTGTGCGTTCGAGTGTTTCTGTGTTTATCGTTTGATTAAGAATTGAAGTGCATTCGAGTGTTTCTGTTTATATCCCTTTGTTCTCTGCTTATCGGTTGCTTTGAATTTTCGTGCAATTGAGTAATTCTATATTTATCATTTGGTTAAGGATTGGTTTGCATTCGAGTGTTTCTGTGTATATCGTATGTCTGGTAAAGGTTTATGTGCATTCGAATGCTTCTGTGTTTATCCCCTGGTTTAGAATTGATGTGCATTCGAGTGTTTCTATTTTATCACTTGGTTCTCTGCTTATCGGTGACTGTGACTTTTCATGCAATTGAATATTTGTTTGTTTATCGGTTGGTTGAGGAGTTGTATGCATTCGAGTATTTCTGTGCCTATGGTCTGCTTAAGGATTGATCTGCATTCGAATGCTTCTGTGTTCATCGCTTGGTCCTCTGCTTATCGATTGCTGTGACTTTTCATGCACTTGATGATATTTTTTTATCGTTTTGTTAAGGATTGATGTGCTTGAGAATGCTTATGTGCTCATTCTAGTGTTTATTTGTTTATCTTTTGTTTGAGACAATTTGTACGTTTTGGCGATTACGGTCTGGTCGTAAGTTTATGCGTATAATTCAAACACATTTATATGTTAAACCACACACAGAATCCGGTTCAAGGCATTGTATTTCAGATAAACAATTCAAAACAGTTTTCATAAAACATAAATCATGGCAAAATTAAGAAAGTGTATATAGCAGGTAATTTAAGGAAAGGGAAAAAAAAGGAGAAAAAGGACAATGATTATGATTGTATATTACAAGTCTTGAAATCGTTACAGTATAGATTTTCGCGAATAGGGTATGAACAATATTGAATAATGTTCCCTCTTCCCGTTTTTTCTCGTCAGACTTCTTCGGAGAACCACAAAGAAGAACATAAAGTGTAATATTGAAATAACGACAAATATTTCCAATCAAAACTTGAACTTTTCTAAACATACAATAACATAGTATATTACAGCATTATATCATTTCCACAAACACACGTTGGGTCGCTGATGATGCTTTTTGAGTCATACGTAAAATTACTTCAAACTTTCAATAAACAACACGATAAAAATCGATAAAACTAGGGCAACATATGAACAAAGGCAAGATTTACGCGGAGACCCTTGCAAAGTACAAAGAGATGTAAACCTGATTCAAAGTCTAGTAACATCACATTATCACATCGTGAACTCGGGTAGTGAAAAAAACCCACAAGGCATTCTAATGAGCAAAATCAAAAACGTCGACCTTCACATCGCACAAAGGAAAAGCATATTTCCCTGTGAGATTCTAAAGGCAACCATGACACTTGTTCACAGTCTTTATCATCCTGCATCTTTGGAAACCCATTATTGTAGTTTGTACATGTACGTCAGCAATTGACATCCATCAGTTAAGTCAGGATATTCGGAGTAAGCTTTTGAGACTGAAACAGCCTGTACATATTAACACCATAAGTAGGGAAGCAAGGATGTCGCTATCAAGAAATGGAACGTTCACGATCGGAAAGAAGAAATAGAAACAAAAGAGTACAATTGAGCAACAACTGACCATGTTTATGTTGAATTAATGATTGAAAACTGCGTTTTGAACGTCTGCACTCCGTAATATTACAGTAAATGGAATAATAATTGGAATTAATTAGACAACCGAAAATTAGGAATAGGTAAGTTTCGTTTTTTTTTTCACATTGTAGCTGTTGGGATTACCTACTTTAGAAACAAAAGAAGATTACAAAGTTTACAAAAGGGTATTTGCTGTTGTTGAGATAATAATTTATCATTATTTATTCATTTTAGTAATATTTTTCATTATTTTTGTTATTATATCTTTCTTCTTTCTGATACAGGTTCAAGTTGTGACTCTTGATATATATATATAAAAAAAATATACTTGAAATAGAAAGTCAGCCAGTAATAATACTTGCTACTTCAAGCTGAACCAGTGAAAACAAGTAAGATCTGTTTGAGAGTAACCATCCCACGCTTCGCACGCATATTCCAATTGAGGCAAAACAAACAATCTGCTACAGGAAGTGTCCCCATGAACTTAAGTGTGTTGTGTATAACTATTGATCAATCCCAAATGAAAAATAATTGGCGTTATTTCTGCTTTAACATATATCCTGAAATTGTATATCCCGTAAAATATACGACCTATTCAAAGCGCAATTAAATATCTCACCTTATAAGCCTATCCTTTTCATATTGTACCAAGAGTACGTATTACAGTCAAACGAGTTTATCTATGTATCCCTTTTAGTGTGTCGAGAATGTGCGGTACAGTTAGAAAACTTTCTGAAAACAAGTCAAACTTTTGAGGTACATAAATACGAAGAAAAAGAAGCAAAGCGTCACGCACAAAAGCAGTCGATAAAAAAAAAATACATTCTACACAAAAAGACCTTCAATGAAAGACAAAAATCAAAGAGGATGCCAACAAGGATATCAAAGTAAATCACGTCATGATGACAATCCTAACATTCCTTCAGTTTTTGAATCTCAAGGATGTTGTTTTTTGACGATCTTACCAGATTATTCTGAGGAATGATGAGTTAATATTCTTCGAAATAAAAATCACATACTGAAATAGTCAGTCAGCTGAGGTAACTGAATTCACAAAGTTATCATTATAAATACTTTAGTATTTATCGTCTGGTTGTGGCTTTTGGCACATTTTAGGATTTCTGTATTTATCGTCTGGTTTTGACATTGGCACATTTTAGGATTTCTGTGTTCATTTAAGGTTTTCTGTGTTTATCGTCTTCATTGTGACTTTTTGTACATTTGACCGTACCTATGTTTAACGTCTGGTGTTATTCTTTTAATACAACTGTATTTTATCGTCTGGGGAGACATAACTTGTTGTACATTCCAGTGTTTAGTTTTTAATGCTAGTAATAAAAGGAATTGCTATCAATGGCAAACATCATCATGGTTTTTCATAACAATATGCATTGTTTCGTATATAAGTCAATTCCAATGTGAATGCAACTCCTAAGTCAATATGGCAGTATTTTTTCAAGTGCACTTTCCATTTACTTCTAAAAGACGTATGGCGACAAACTAATGCTGGAAGTTATAGGAAACTTAATTGTATTATAAATCGTTTGAAAAACGTAATATTGATCTTGGACATTTGTCTCACCCTGTCATCACACGTACTTCAACATCACGTATTTTGTCATCTCATACTTAATCGTCTCATGTTTTACCATCACATGCTCACGTGTTGTGCTTTATACTTACCACATCTATTATCTGGGCCAGCGCCACACCAAACTTAACATTTAAAGGTTTAGAACTATTCTGGGACGGCATGATTCTCTTCTCGTAATTCTTAAGCAAATCTCGTACTAAACGATACTCGTGAACGTCGCTCAGAACGAGGTCCAAACCTGAAAAAATACGAAAAGACTGATATTATCTTCATCATTACGCTTGGTCCTTACCTAACGTATATCATCGTGGGCCGGGAAAGACGGGAACAGTGTATGGGGGGGGGNATCGTGAAATGAAAACTGCGAGCGCTGTATAGGCCAAAATAATCCTTCATCTTCCTAGTCGAATAACCTTTTTAATAAGGCTTCCATTATGCTTCAGGCAAATATTCGTAATTCATATTTAACGTGCAAAACTAATCCTACTTTGCACAACTGAAAAACCGGCAAGGTCAAAGTCATTCTTCTTTTGTTTTGATGCTAATAAGATCGGTGCCTTATAATGCGGGACACAATTATAATCTCTTTTGAAAATAAACCCTAGATAATTAGGATAAGCACAAGTTGTTAAAACTCTGCCACCAAAGAAGATTAAAAATGATGTCACAGAAATGTTATATAACTTTAATAATGTCCCTCCAGCATAAAATACACATCTAAAATGGTTATCAATTTCAATCTATCCTGGATGCATGGACCGAAACATGATACAGCAGCCCTGATTCCTCCTACCGGCATGTCATTAGCATCTCTGTCCGAAATTGTGTTGAGCGTTTCATTCAGAGATTCAATAAATACTCAGGATTCTTTCGAAGAGCTTTTTTTTTTTTTTTACATTAGTTTGATTATCTTTATAACGAATGATTTAATTGATATATGCCTGTTTCTTTTCAGTGCTTTTGGTAAGCTTACTTCCCAGTCTTCCCATGATACTTTGTACATATCATATAAATCATGCGCAATATGGTAGTGTTGCAACTATTTTTCGCATCCGATTTCAGGTGTTTGAAACAAATATTAATATCACGGGCACACGAACTATCAATCATAGTATCACGCGGCGTACGTGAAGAAAACATCGGTAAATTAACTGCAATCTAAATAGTAATAATGTGATAACCAAGGGTGTATCTGCTGAAAACTACGGTATTTATGTTATAAACATGGGATTATCAGCTTAAACCAGGAAATAAGTGTGATAAACATGGATGTTTTCATTGAAAACTACGGTATTATTGTGTGGGTGTTTTCACTGAAAACTACGGTATCAATGTGATAAACATACGTGTATTCATTGAAACCTTGGGTAGTTAAATGATAAACATGGGTGGTTTTTTTTACTGACTACGGTATTTTGTGTGGTAAACATGGTTGTTTTCACTAAAAAATACGGTGTTAGTGTGGTAAATATGGGTGTTTTCACTGAAAACTACGGTATTAGTGTGGTAAATATGGGTGTTTTTACTGAAAACTACCGAATAAGTGTGGTAAACATGGGTTTATTAACTGATAACTACGGTATAAGTGTGGTAAACATGGGTTTATTAACTGAAAACTACGGTATAAGTGTGGTTATTTGTGTTACAGAAACCGTGAAATTCGTCTACTAATTGTGACGTCATGATAATACTAATAATTACCCGCTATTAGCATGAAGATTGCACAAAAATGGCCTCCAATCATGGCTGTCATCGTTGTCATCGTGTTCCGCAGGCACGCAGTCGGGCAACTGAAAAAACAAAAGTCATCACATTACCATACTGTCGCAAGTTAAATGTAATTGTTTCGTTAAATAAGAATGAAAATGTCATCAATTTTCGAATTTACCTTTATAAGTCACTAGGTTAAGAAAAGCTGATGGATTTTTTGTATCTGCAAAACGGCCCAACGACAATTAAAGCTAGATGTAAGTACATGTATTTGTTAGCACCTGGCGTACCAGACTAGTACAGCGTTAATCTAACCCAGAGCTAGGCGTACCAGACCAGGACAGCGTTAATCTAACCCAGAGCTAGGCCTACCAGACCAGTACAGCGTTAATCTAACCCAGAGCTAGGCGTACCTGACTAGTACAGCGTTAATCTATCCAAGAGCTAGGCGTACCTGACCAGTACAGCGTTAATCTAACAAAGAGCTAGGCGTACCAGACTAGTACAGCGTTAATCTAACCCAGAGCTAGGCGTACCTGAGCGTGTTCTTTTCTTAATGATATTACTAAATTACATTTTAGAAAGTGTATGGCAACTATACGACTTAACAGTACTACTAACATAAAAATACAAAGGACCTTCCCGAACATCTTTCTATTTGATTTGATTTACTAATAATCCGTACGTAAACGCCTCGGAGGGGAAAGCAAATTAAATTCCGGAAACAACGTCCTGCACCAGGCTCTGTTGTTAGTGATATTCCGACCAATTATCATGAAGTGTCTGCCATATTGTGCACGACTCCGGCCACACATAGCGGTACTGACCACTGCTTTACTTTATTGATTGATGAATTCCTTAACATCCCGCCTGAACTGCCAGTCGTGGTCTTTCTTTATCAATGCCAAATAAAGGAGATTAATAGCAAATTTTGTATTCAGGTGGTGTCAATATGGCCGCGTTGCCACGACGGAAGTCAAGAAGACAAATAGTACTGGATCCATACACTTCACATAAACCGGAAAATAATCAAGTAATGAAGTATGAAATGATCCGCCATCGTGGAACTCTCCTTAGTGGAGGCAGAAAAGGGGTTCATTAGTGTGACATTGAGCGACTTCATTTTGAAGGCTTGCCTTTGCGGTCAGCAGATTTGACACTAACGCATGCGCAGGAATGTCCACTTTTGCTGCATATAAATTAAACCTGCAGTTCGCAAGGTAATTGACCTTTAGTGAAAAATTAGCATAGATTGATTCGTTATGTCTGCATCGCTAATGTCGCCTATTTTGTCATCGATTTGCTTCAGACACTAAAACGAAGGCCCAATTTCAGCAGGTGTATGTTTATGTATTGACAGATAAAGGAAACACTTGGCCATTAACATCTATTTTCTTAAACTATAAAAACTTTCAACAAAACAAAATTCAATGACTATCATTATAAAATGACTATATAGTCGATATTTGATACAACAATGTACTGAACAGCTATGTCTCTGCAACATTGATAACTGACCCCTGGATATAAAATATTCGAAAATTGATTACACCAAAACAAAACAAACAAAAAATCTTCGACAAGTTTACGCATTCGAAATATGTTTGGAAAAGTTAATGCAATTCATTATGCTGTATAAAAGTAGAAACTGAAACGTAAATTTCGTTATAAAATTAAAAGATTTTACGTCACACATCTGCATGTAAAACTTTTAATACAAGAACAAATGCCTTATCCGCACCGATATGCCAATCATACCTTACAAAAATACATTATTTTCATTTTTGGCAAAGACCCGGATGACACTCTACGGCAAATAATGCCGTAAAGTGGTCTAGTGTTGTAAACATAATTATACCGTGTGACTACAGTTGTGTTTTTGTTTCCCTGTAAAACTGAATGAAAAAAACGAACAAAACATATATATGAAATACATCTGATGATAGGGTCGACGTAGAACCCTGTTCTTCCTTCTGTGATGATACTTTCAGACCATCGTAGATCTGCTACCCCCATGTACTACTACGTAGAATCCTTAATTCTTTACTTATCAGATAATAGTACTTACAGCATAATACAGTACATACAGTCTACACAGTTTTCAACGATCAGTCATGTAGTTCAGGTGTATATTTCTTATCAAGCCTATACGTTGTTTCGGCAGCTTTAAACACTGATGGGTTTTGCACTTTTTTAAAACGAATTTCAGCTAAATGGTTACAGGTAGGCAGTTATTCCACAACTTGCTGCTACTTTCCCAAAAATTCCCATGCGTATACGTAACGGTACGAGATTTTAGGACACAAACCAGTGATTCTAACTCTGACCTTGGTGGTCGTTGATAGAAGGTAGCACGTGCCTTCAGATAGAGAGGAACTGTCGCATTTAGCTACTTGTATCTACATACAGGTACCCAAGGGACCTGAGAATTTGGTAAAGCTATATTTGGACCTAAAGTAATATTTTCAGAGTAAGTTTACATGTTACATGATCGACTCTCGGTAAAAATGACACCCTCAATAATTGTATATATAATCATTGGGGATGTCACCTTTATCGAAAGTCGATCTTAACCCCTAAAACATGTAAACTTACTCTGAACGCTTTACTTTACATGTAGGTCCAATTATAGCTGTAACAAATTATCAGGTCCCTGTGGTACATACCAGAACCTTATACTGTTATATGTATGGTACAGGTAACGAACGGATAGAGAGCAGTACTCTCCTTTTACAGTACGTGAAGCTATGTTAATTTTGTTCATGTTAATGTATATTAGAAATATAAGCAATCTCTTTGCCACTTTTCTACATGTTCATGTCTATGTATGTATTTCACTGTGTTTTTCTATTTTTGCCTTCAAACTACTTTGTAGTTACAAATATGGAAATAACATTTTGAATTTGAATTTGTAACATGCCAATCTGCAGTATCTCCCTGAAGACGGAGTTACTGAGATACCATATAAGTTAGAGTTAGACTGGCTACCAGCCCCCAAGTTTGTATGAAGAATTTCTCTGCATTTTACTACTAGCTTATCTCCCCCTAGTCTAGAATCAGACATCCAAGTGATCAACATTTTTTGAGTTAAACTTTTTTCTTAATACTTCAATATTCTAGAGACAATGGCCAGTCTATATAAGAGTGTATTGTTGTGGTACAGGCGATAGGTTACCAGCAACGTGTCTAGGGTTTACAGCAAAATATACAGATCATCCAGTATTCCAGATTCGGTAGAAGCATGGCATTGCTATGGCGTTTTCCTCTTTCGCAGTCTGTACTCACAGAACTAAGTATACATTTGAGTTCCTCGTCGATGAGACTGTCTGAGTGGGGTTGTCTTAAATCTTATGCTACAGGTCCTGTGTCTTGTTCTACAGATGATTTGGTGTTAGAACAATGAGGTCTGTCGTATCCTGATTTAGCTTCAGCATACTGGCACTAAACCAAAAACTGACGTCCGTCAGACATTTTCCAGACTTACTATCACATATATGGTATTATAGTTGTTATGCAGTCTGAACATCCTGTATGTATGTGTGTCATCAGCATAACGGAATATCTCAACAGTGTTTTGGAAATACAGACAACCCATAGATAGGCCTAGCACTATTTAGGAGCCCCAAACTCGAGGTTTCATTTTCAGACGTGGTCATTCACAAGACACTGTAGTCTGTCACTGAAATGGGAGTCAATCCAGCAGAGTGTCACCAACCACTCCGTAAAATAATCAAGAAGCAAAATCTGCATAGAGGTAAACTTGTCTACTGCCTAAGATAGATCTGTGCAGTGTAACTGTAGCAATCTGCTGAGATAAATAAATAAGATTTTGGGACCGTAGCAAGTTTGTGAGGACATGTCCAAAGGGACCGAGGCGACGGTAATATAACACTGGTAGTAAAGACTATTTATATCGTAAAAACTCAGCAATGTAATTCAACTAAAGGATCATTTAACATACGACGACAAAAGTTAGAGTGCAAATTGAAATTGAAAAGACAAGTCCTGCAGACAACCGCATTAACGCACCACTCTTTACGGCGATAATGGACTTTATAGAGGGCTGCTGCTTAAATGTGGAGAGGGTCCTGAGCACATGTGAGATGGGAAGCGGAGGGGGAGTTCACCGGATATTGGACATTCCCCTTTTTATTACAACGGACTTTTACGAGGCAGATTATTGCGTGTTGTAGAGGTCAGCGAATCACGTCCAGGATCCACTGCGCCAGTCTCTGATCCCTAACCATCCATTACAAATGGCACACACTATGGTCCTCCATCTCCATTGTGCCACTATCATGGTTCACGTGTACTATTACACAATAAGGTTTCATGTATTGTAGTAAGTAGTGCTCTGGTATATAGGGCTAGATATATCAGTAAGTACTGTAGTTAGTAGTACTCTGGTATATAGGGCTAGAGATATTGGTAAGTACTGTAGTTAGTAGTACTCTGGTATATAGGGCTAGAGATATTGGTAAGTACTGTAGTTAGTAGTACTCTGGTATATAGGGCTAGAGATATTGGTAAGTACTGTAGTTAGTAGTACTCTGGTATATAGGGCTAGAGATATTGGTAAGTACTGTAGTTAGTAGTACTCTGGTATATAGGGCTAGAGATATTGGTAAGTACTGTAGTTAGTAGTACTCTGGTATATAGGGCTAGAGATATTGGTAAGTACTGTAGTTAGTAGTACTCTGGTATATAGGGCTAGAGATATTGGTAAGTACTGTAGTTAGTAGTACTCTGGTATATAGGGCTAGAGATATTGGTAAGTACTGTAGTTAGTAGTACTCTGGTATATAGGGCTAGAGATATTGGTAAGTACTGTAGTTAGTAGTACTCTGGTATATAGGGCTAGAGATATTGGTAAGTACTGTAGTTAGTAGTACTCTGGTATATAGGGCTAGAGATATTGGTAAGTACTGTAGTTAGTAGTACTCTGGTATATAGGGCTAGAGATATTGGTAAGTACTGTAGTTAGTAGTACTCTGGTATATAGGGCTAGAGATATTGGTAAGTACTGTAGTTAGTAGTACTCTGGTATATAGGGCTAGAGATATTGGTAAGTACTGTAGTT